ATGTGCAACTGGATGAGCGCAGTGAGCTTCGCCAGACTCGTGTAGACGAGCAGAGATTGTAGTGCATAGTACCACACATCGCGCTCTTTGCGAGGTTTTCGATTGTGCAGCATTTGCCAGATTGCTCCTACTGACTGCTACGACGAGAAGCGTGCTGGCTGGAGAATCTGAATGTCGATTTTGGTTCGTTGGATGCAGAGCATCTGCCAGGACATCCTGGTGTGTTGACGCCACTCGAGGCGGACGAGAGGGTGAGCCATCGTGATTGCACGACCATAGCCTCGCAACCGACTGCCGTCAACGTGATTAGCGCGACATTATCTGGCCAGGCACTTGTGTGGAAGGAGCCCGTCATGACCCTGCGAACAATTTGTTTTGCGGCTGTTGCGGCCCACTGAGAGCGCAGAAAAGGAGTCGCTGGCATACGTGCGGTGCCGTTAGAGCAGGGATAAAGTCAGGCGTGCGAAGGATTGTCGAAGTGCTCTTCGCTGGCATAGCAATCTTTGTGCAAATTGGCGATGACTTCGCAGAAATGCGAGTAGCAAATGCTGAGAAAGGCGACACCAGGCTGTGCCTTGGCGAGGTGGAGACGATTCCTTGGCAGTGCTGATCGCTAGGTAGACGCTTCAGAGTTGCCACTCACAAGGCTCGTCACTCGCTCAAGTCAAATGTGACAAGGGGTTGCGTCTAACCTTGTCTTTCACATAATCAGGGCATCGTCATCGCCCTCTTGCCAAATGATCTGCGGGTCCATGTCCCACCACGTGCTTGGATGTTCTAGCGGTTAGAGTAGCGCGAAAATCGACACAGCCACTCGCCCCCAAAGCAGCGAGCGCCCAATGCCAAAGTTCAAGCTGCCTGTAGTCAGTGATCATGTTAACGGTGCAAAATTGGAAAGGAGTGCGAGTCACGCCTAATGTCGAATTCTCGAGTTCATTTTATTGATTCAAAGCTGTACTCAAGATCGCCAAATGGGAGCGAAGCTGCTTGCCTATAGGATTGAGGGAATAGTGCCAGAGAGGTTGATTGATGAGAAGATGCCCATCATTTATTAATTTTTTATTTATTTTATTTTTTTGATTTTTTTTCTCATTCCTCCGAAGCGCTCAGTCTATCACCGTGTACGGGCGTTCAGCGGTGAGGCTGTAATTTCTGCAAGTTCGGGCAGGGAGCGACCCCATGACAACTAATCGCTGCTCTTACGCTCACGTTGTGCCCGTGACGTGCTCACAGCCAAGCGGCGTGTGGTAAATCGAAAACGTCTGGCGTAGCCCATGACAACGCGCCTGAGATCCTCCTTCAGCTCTCCTCCGAGTCGTAAGGTCTGTGTCTATTCTGCTGCCATAATCTGATGCGACGAGTGAGTAGGACAGCGAATCCGACGGAGAGCCCACACACGGGAAACACCACGAGGCAGACCCCATCCCAAGTGCCTAATTTGGACCAAGGTCCGCAATTCTCGAGTATCATAGATACTAGTGCGAGAACGGTCAAGAGAATGCTGGAGTTCTGCGCGAGCCTCTCAAAGCACTGCGCCATGGGTCCAGGTCGTGCAGATGTTGCCGACGTTGTCACGGCCTCGAGCTTCAGGCCATCATCGGTTCTACTCCGTGGCGATCCGCCCAGTAGGAGATCGAGGGAGATGGCTGAAGAGCCACCTTATAGCTCGCCACCGGACTTCAGAGGTCCGGCACAAAGTGGGCGGGACATGAGTCTCCATTGCAATTGGTAAGTCAGACCGATGAGAAGCAATAGTCTGACAATGGTGCGCCAGTGATCGCCAACGCCTGTCCAGAGTTTCGGCGCGCTCTTGTCGACATGTTCTCGCTGGGCTGCTCCTCCCTTTGAGCTGGAGATTGGTGGCGGGGAGGAGGAGTGGATAGGCAGTTCCTCTGCGAGGTCCATGCCTGGAGCGTATAGCGAGAGGTGTAAGGCTGGCGATTCTGAAGGCAGATTCACGATTGCAGAGAGATTTGGAAAGAGAAGGGCTGGGCGAATGACAGGCTTGGACTGATGACAGAGGGCCTGAATTGCAGATCGAAGATGGATCTCATGCTCATTTGCCTGATAGTGAATCAGAACAAGGGACGATGAACGCCTCGACCTCTCGACGCTCTTCAGTCGCAGTCACGAATTGACACTCGTCTGTCTCATGGCGTCGTGATCAAGCTTGGATCTGCTGAGGTCATGCAGACGACTTCGTGCTCGAAGTGTCGAGTTGGTAGTTGGTAGCGCACAACATGATCGAGATAGCACAGCCACGCGCCATGCAGCCGAGCTTCAATTGCTACTCTCC